CACTTTCCCTCACTGATAAGATCTGAAGCACTGAAACGTCTGTGCTCTCTCTGAGAAAATATTTTAATCTAAAAATGTCTTATACCAAGAGTTATTTTGAATAATTTCAACACTGTTACCACAATATCAAAAGGAAAACAAAATGTATTACTGATCACAAATTGGGTTATTTAAATGTATTTTAATCATGATTTCATTAATGCCATGTGCTCTTAGCATTTATGCTAGCAAGTGGAGTTTTTGGCAAAAATAAAAGAAAATAGTCAATTCTGTTACCGTCAAACTCTGTTACCAAGGTAGCGTAACAATGCTGACAATAGTGTAACAGAATTGACAGTCTACCGGATAATTCTGTCAATTCTGTTACTTTACAATTCTGTTACTTAAAGGGTCAGCTCTGTTTATGAACTATTTTCACAAAAAAAAACAAAAACTATACAATTGTTGTTTAAAATATCATAAACATTATTGAGATATGATGCACCCTTATTATATTTTAACAACATTTCTCTTTTTTGTACTGGATATTGTATACAATACATTTTCATATGAAAAATATTTGCTCCAAGTGGACAATTCTGTGAAGACATAGGCATTTATTTTTATTTTTAAGGTATGCATAGGTGAAATATTATCTGTTGGACTGTTTTTCTACTGATACAAGAAGGATTTTTCCTTTTATGATTTATTGTTATTTCTACACATTGCCTAATTTGTCCGTAACAGAGTTGACAAACAATACCATAAAGACATCTGTTTTTTTATCAAAAGTACAAAAAGGAAGTAACTTGTGTTTGGCAAGCACTGAATTATTAAAATTGAATATGTTTTCAATAAGATACTGGAAAGAATTTCTGTTAGTGACCAGTTTTTTTTTCTTAACTTTATGAAATGCCAAATGTATCTCCAATTATAGAATCACCCATATATTGCAAACACATCAAAACTAACTAAATCATACAAATATTTAAAAGTTCCGTAATATTATCAGCATGTATCATATTCAAAATTGCACACATCAAGCGGAATGAAAGATCGCTGCACAGCACAGCTCTTGCAATCCTGTCTGTCACATTAGCAAACGGTTTACATTCCCAAACTGATCTAGGGGGTAACTACACTGAGACAGTTTAATGTTAGCTTAATTCATGTCCAATAAAGTCTTTATTTTTGGTGTAGATTAAAACAGATGAAAACCTATTTTGCATCTCATCTGCCTGGATGCTCATACATGAACACATGCAAAACAATGAACGAAAGAACGAAAGAACGAAAGAAAAGTAGCTTTTCCATTTGAAAACCACAAGTAAATATCTATATGTGCACCACAACCAAATCCATGGGTTAATTTCAATAGAATAACAATGTTCTGCTTTCTACGTCTTGTGGTTTTCTGTTAAGAACTATTTTTCTATCCTAAAATCAAGGGTGTGTGTGCTGTTTCTTCCCCCCACGCTTTGCTCAGTAGCTGTACATATCTTAAAGCCATATTCTCTTTTCTGGTTTTTGTTTTGCATGCATTTCTCGATACCGATGAAAGTGGCATGTTTGACACTGAAGGTTTGAGTACAGCAGGGTGTTAACTTTGTCCATTTCTAGGCCTTTACAGCGATAGTGATGCCACAAGTCTGCAAAAGTAGTTTCACCTCAAAACTGATCACATTAAATTACTCTCAAACCAATTCTGAAACTTTCACAGGCGTAATATGATAAATACAGAAAAAAGAGGGAAGCCTTACCTCTGGCGTTCAGCAGTAGAGAGAATACAAGAGAAAGCAAAAGTAAATTCAGCCTATCAGCAATGAACAAAGAACTTCCTGTATTTGAGTGATAGAGCTACATGCTAAGTCATGTCTTGGCTAAATGAATGATGCTTTCAGCTTATGTGCAGATGCATTTAGCTGGCTGTATGAAGACAACTTCAGACAACTTCTGCCACTTCAGATTAGATCTGCTCTATCCCTACCAGTCATTACTGAAAACTCATTTCTTTTTACTGGCTTTTAATGTTCACTACATGTTGTAAAATATTGCTAACATTTTATGTATGTCTTCTGTCTGTTTTTCAGTTACAATGCATTGTAAAGCACATTTGTCAGCTGTTGCTGTATAAATGGTGCTATATAAATAAGCTTTGACATTGACTTTGACATAATCCTAATACAGCAACCATGTAAAGTGTTTATAATTGGTTTGTCCATAACAATATTACTAAAACTTATCGCTGTCACCATGCTCTTATTCAACCATGTACCTCACAATCGGAGGAATTAGCATGAATATATTATCTATGTAGAACAGTATTGTTAAATAAACTACTAAAATGTACCCAGTAATTGAAAAAAGATGAAATGAAATGAAATAAAATAAGTTTAAGTACTAAATGTGCTAAAGACTGAAATAAAAGCAAATTATTGCTAAACCAAAATATTAAAAATAGTAAAAAAATCACAAAAACATGTAACAGCATTTCTAAAACTTAAACTAAAGTTAAAATGAAAACTAAATATTAAAATAACACTTATACTGATGGAAAAACTGCATACAGTTGCAGGGAACAAATTTGGTCATTAAATCTGATCGACCTTCATCTACGTCAAACATTCAACAAAATAAATGTCTTCTTTAATGAACACACTGTGTAAACATTTAAGTGCAAATGTGAAAAAGGTCTGTGAATTCTTTCATAAAGTTGTAAAGATCCTTAAATTAAATTAAATTATATAAAATATAGTCTATATGTATTACATATATAAAATATGTACAATCTTTTTTCTTATGAATAAAAAATGAAAGAATTTGCTGATTTTTTTAGTTAAGTTTTCAATAATGTTTCATTGTTCTATACTCCAAAGTTTTGTCCAGTAAGTTCTCTCATGCTTGGATAACATTATTACTATCTATGACGTCATAAAAATACAATCCACAATAGTAACCAGCCTAAAGAATGCAGACAGAGTCTCTGTGTATTCTAGAAGCTCTAAACATCCTAAAACCCAAAGAAAGAGCTGCTTTGGAAACTTTATATATACTGTATCGCTCGTTTCTGGAAATAATATTTTACGGTGCAGCTGCAAGCGGGTATATAAAGCCATTAAACAAAGCAACACAGTGTGAAGCAAATATGTGGCTGATGGAAACATGCTGCAAGACCACATTTAAATAGAGAGGTTGCAAATAAATGCAGCACACACACATTTATCCACACATACTCACTTATCTACAGCTACCAAAACAGCCCCACAACAAACAACCAGTACATTCTCAGTTGTCTTCACACCTTGCAATGACTCATGAGAGACTGTCCAGTGAGGCTTTATGTTGTCCGTCCTGTGCACCAAGGGTTCATGACACAGTATACTATTGAACAGGCCTTTAAAGGTCAAAGGCTAGAGACAAATACGCACTTTGGATCCAGAGCTCTGTCAGCCATCTTGGC